TGTCTTCTTCCGGGAGGGGACCCTCATTTTACCCTCGCCCCTCCTGGATTCCAAGGGTGGGCATACCATTTGCCAGGAAGCTCCCTGAGTCTCCAGCCAGATCAGCACAAGCCCTTGCCACGGCTCATGGTCCCATGGGAATCTGACAGGTCCCAGGTACAGTGAGGGCTCGGGGGGTGTGGCCAAGTCTCCCCACAAGGGACCCAGGGAGCATTGTGTAGGCAGGGACCCTGAGAGCTGACAAGGAGTTTGCAGGCAGATGGGTGGTTGGGAGGACCTTCTGGGCTCGGGAAAGCGGAGAATGAGGGCTAGGGGTATGCAGCAGCAAGGGCCTCAGGGAGGTGAGCTTGCGTGCTGCGTGTGTGCGTGCACGTATGGGTGTGCTTGCACGTGCATGTATGCGTATGTGCGCGTGCACGTATGGGTGTGCTCGGGTGTGCACGTGCATGGAGGAGGCGTCAGTGGGAAGAGGCCAGCAGCGAGGGGCGAGCCTGGAGAGGCAAGCAGACCCTTCCCCATGAAGGGCCTTCAACACCAGGCTACAAAGCCCGACCTTTACCCCCAGGGCACTGGGCAGCAGCGAATGGGAGGGAAGCTTGTGTCCTGAAGAGCCTTCCCCCTGGCTGCCCAGTGCTACCCCGGCTGGAGGAGGGCAGGTGTGGAGCTGGGGGCCGCTCGGAAGCCACTGCAGTCTCAGGGAGAGAGGCAGCCTGGACGGGCACGGGCAGTGGGCACAGGCAGGAGGGTGAGGAGGCCTCCAGGGTGATGGTGGGGGCCTGTTTCCCATATGACCTGTCACTCCTGCTGTGCCGGGCCCCAGCTCCTCTGGGGGAAGCGTGGCCGGGCCCCGTCAACGAAGCTACACGGTGCCTGGAACAGACACAGTAGGGCTTACGACGCCCCACAGCGGGGGCTCCGGGGGAGGGAAATGTGGAGCCCCTTCTGCCCTCAGAGGTGGCCGGCAGGCTCTGGAGGGTGTGCCAGCCCCCGACTCCCTGAGCTGCCGGGGAGGAGACTCAGGGGGCCACGAAAGGACAGCTTTGTGTCCGCTGACCGAGCGACCTCTGAGTGCAAGTTAGCTGCCCTCCGGTGAAGGACGCAGACAGCAAAGCCCGCCGGCTGAGTGAGCAGCTCGGCAGGAATTGGGGATCTGCTCCCGTCACATCCAGGCTTGCTGACACCCCGAAATGTCCCCTCCACTCATTGCTGCTCCGAAATCCCAGGCATTAGACCTGAGGGAGATCCGATTATTAGTGAGTTAATCAGATGTGTGTAGATTACCAGTCACGCATTTAAAGACGTCTTGAAAGCTGCATTTCAATGTAATTGGTTTCCTTCGTAATGCTAAAAACATTATTCTGAGAAAGCATCCCTGGGCTTCCCTGGATGCCGGAAGGGGTCACACAGAGCAAGTCAGGACCTCGAGACGGAGACGGGGCCCCCACAGCAGGGCTGACAGAGGGCTCCCCAGCTGAATTTTTAATAAAATTGTTTTCACGTCTTGACGCGCGGCCCTGTGCAGGCCTCGAACCCCCTCTCCACCAAAAGCACCACTGCCAAGGGGCTGGACCAGGTGGGCGTCCTACTCCAACAACGTGGGACATTTCGTGATCCTCTTTTTGGCGTGTTTTTGCCTGAAGCGCTGCTGACTTTCATCATTTGTTGGGACTTTTCATTTCAGACGACTTTTGGAGCACCTGCCTCAGAATTGGAAGGTTCCAGCATTGGGTGTAGGTCAGAGCAGATCCCCCGGGATCTGGCTGAAATGAAGATTCAGCATCAGCAGGTGTGGGCCGGCCTGAGACTCCGCATCAGAGAGGTGAGGAGGAGGGTGGTCGTGAGAATCCTGAGGAGAACCTAAAACCAACAAAGACAACAGCAGTGAGACAGTTTCCTGCCCTCGGCCCTGGAGACGCAGAGGAAGCATTCTGCTGGACAAAGTCCCTGGTGATGTTGACAGATCCATCACTAATTAACTAATAGACCCATTATTTCACTCGTTCCCCAGATGTCAGGGTGAGGGCGCTGACCTGCAGCTGGGGACTCGGTGGGAACAGGACGGGGGGCCTCTTGGCCTCTCGGCACTGGCCTTCTCGTGGAGGAGGCACACTGATCACTGCTCCTCTCTCTGGGTCTCCAGGACCCCTTGGGGCCCCTCTTGGGCTCAGGCCCTCCGAGGCCTGGGATCAGATGGAGGCTTGGCAGATGGGTGGGTTTCTCCAGATCCGGCTGAAACCACTGTCTCTTTCCACTCTGCTTTAAAGGAAACTCCCATACTGCATCAGCTTCTGGCCCCACAGCCCGTTTCTACTCCTGAATTTCAGAGAGTGACAGGCGCCGTGAAGAGAGTGGGGAAAGTGGAGGTGGGTGTGGGGCGGGGAGAGAAGACCCTCTCGGGGCGGGAGGAGGGCAGGCCGGTGGGGCAGGCACAGGGTCACGGGCCTATGTTGGTCTCAGCTCTCGTGGGGCTCAACCTGAGCTCCCTGGTGGCCAAAGTGAGACCTGGTCTGTGACGTGATGTTCCTTCTAAGAAGGTTCGGTTCTTGGGGGGGCCACCCGTGCTTCCTCTAAGACCAAGGTCCATAGTGTGCATGGGGAAGGTTCTGGGGACTCGGGGGCCTGCAGTAGCCGGTCTTCTGTCCTAATTGACATGTTCCCTGCTCCTGATTTCATATATAATTTACCAGTTTATAACAAGACGTCTTGCTGTAGGTTGCCTCAAACGTTTTCCGAACGAGGCTGGGTGCAACACACGGACACGCTCATCCCCGCCTTGGTGGGCCGCCGCCTTATGGGGGTGGCAGCACCCCGGCTAGAGTGGTCCTTTCACTCCCTCAGGCCCTGACTGTGCTGCTGCGGGCCTGGGCTCAGCACCCCCGCCCTGGGCCTCAGTCTCCCCGTTGCAGGTGAGGTGCTGCTGGCTGGTGTCTGGGCCTCCCTCCTCCAGGGTGGGATTTGTCAAACAGATCAGGGGACCCCACAGACAAAGGCCATGCCTGCCCGGGGGCCCATGTGCCAGTAGGTGCCACCCGAGTCCCCGGGGATTGGAGCAGGCCCAGCAGCCCACGGGGGCCTGGGATGCTCAGAGCTTCCTGATGGAGCCCCCAGCACTTGGCGGGTGGGGACAGAGGGCCCAGTGCCCCGGTGTGGACAGAGCCCAGCCAGCCAGCTCCCTGCCACGACTTCCACCCCTTGCCCGATCCTTCCTCCTCGAGAGGACTCTGCTGATAACGGCCACCCCCAACCTCCAACCCCCACCTCAGGCTTAGCTGGTCCAGGCCTATCCTGGGTTCCACGAGGGAGCTTCGAGCCAAGGAGGGCAGTTCAGGGATCTCAGCCCATCAGCTGAGCCGAGCGGCCACTTTCTTGTTGGTTCTCAGACCAGGGACAGGCTTCTGGCCTGATCCCCAGCCCCCAAACCCAGTTCCTCTGAGGCTGGGGTCATTCTTGCTCTCCCACCCACCTGCTGAGCCTTGCCTGGGGACACCCGCCTGTTCCCGGGGCACCTTCCGAGTACCCAGCGGTCACTGAGCCCTGTGAAGCTGATGTGTTCCCATATCACAGATGACAAAACTGAGCTCCTCCCAGGCTCTGTTGCCCTCCTGCACCCCCTCCCGGGCTGAAGCAGGAGCTCCCAGCTCGTTTCTCCCACTAGACGGGAGAAACACCCATGCAGACAGCTTCTCCAGCAGATCCCCGTAGGCTGGTGCCCCCTGTGATTCGGCATCGGTGAGGCGTGCACCTCCCTCCCTGACCACCTCACAGCCCCCACCATGCCTGCTCACCCTGCTCCGGTCTATCCCTTCCCACCTCCAGCAGAAAACCAACTCCACGAGAAGTGTGCCCTTGGAACAGGGCGGCTCAACCAGGTGCAGAAACATCCCCCACCCGGCTCAGAAGAAATCTCACATGCCCTTCTTCCTCTGGTGGCCACGCTGACCCCTCTTTAACAGCGGGGCCCAGAGAAGCATGCCCCAGACACGGCTTCTCCCAACAGGTCCCGTCCTGGGTGCCCTGGCTGCTGGGCTGGCCTGTGGGGCACTGCTGGCTCTCAGGAACGTTCTGGCCCTCGCCCTCCTCCCTGGACAGTCTCCTGGGCCTGGACGTCAGCCATTGGTGGCCCACAGTGGGCCACTCACCCAGGGGGCAGGGAGCCAGCCCTACGTAGCCGCTGTCAGGAGGGGAGATGGGGTATAACCTGTCTGGGGGGCCCCACAGCTGCAGGGGCGGCCCGGGCAGGTGTCACCTGTCCCTCCCCACATGCGCCTCCCCAGTGTGTGTGGGGTCAGGCAGGTCCTTCCTCCGTTCCTGCCAGGGTCCAGTGTTTCTACTCTTGCAGGTGCAAAACCGCCCAGGGTTGGGGGACAAAGGCAGGGGCCAGACCCCCAGCACGGGCAGCGATCTGTACCGAGACCCCACCCCGAGGGTCCCAGCCCCTCCTGAGAGGCTGTCGGGTCTTCCAGCTCTTCCTTCTGGGGTCTCCGGGCCCCTCTGTCAGGAAGGGACAGAGAAACCGGGTAACAGGAACCTGCCCCTCTGAGTGGTCTCTGAAGGCGCGGACCCTGGGGGACGTCCACGGGGCCTGGTGTCGCAGACACGAGCTCGGGAGTGGGGTAGACAAGTTTTATTCCACCCTCTTCCTGCCCACGGCCACCCCAGGCAGAGCGAGGACAGGCTGCTCGGAGGGTCTGGGACAGCCACAGACAGGAGGTGACACTGTGGCCTGAGGTGAGTGGGGAGAGGGACGGCAGGTCTGCTACCGACCCCCGTCGCGCTGGGGGTCACCCTGGCGGCCTGGCCGAGCCCCGGATTCACAGTCTCTGCGGGCGTGGACGCTCGAGGGCCGCGGGTGCAGTGAGTGGCGACGCCCGTTCCACACACACAAGGTTGCCCCGTGGCACCCGGTGACCCGTGAGGCAGGTGAAGCCACCGACACCGATGCCCCAGGACGGAGTGTGCCGGGGTCGGGGCGGCGACAGTTATTCCGAGGACTGGGGGATGCCCAGGCGGCCATGGCTGACAGGAACTGGACGGGACACAGTAAAAAACTCGTGCACGCACACACCACATGGGCACACACACGGGGTCAGTAAAAACACGCGCCCTCACACGATGCTCTGCCGCCCCCCGGCCCCCTCAAACTCAGAGGCGCCCGAGCCACCGGCCCGGCCAAAGTCAATGAAGATCCCTTCGGAGTCCGAGTCCACGGACTCCAGGATCTGGTCCACCAGGTTCTCGGGGCTGGAGGAGGGCGGGGAGCCGCGGGCCGGGCCCGGGCCGGGCTCAGGGGGCTGGGCGGGCGGGTACAGTCTGCTGGGGCAGGGCCCTGACGGGGGCGCCGGGGAGGGTCTGAAGGCCCCGGTGGGGCCCTGGCCGGGCGTGTCAGCAAAGCCCTGGGGCTCAGGGCAGGACGTCATCTCGGACACTGAGTGCCGGCGGATGCCCTGGCCGCCGGCCGCCGCGCCCTCGGCCTCATGCTCCGCCACGGGGTTCAGCAGCGGCGTGTTGTAGCTCTTGGAGCGCACCACTGGGTTCTTAGCCAGGACGTCCCCCGAGCGGGAGCGGCGCAGGAAGTGCTTCTCTGTGGAGAGACAGACGGACAGATGGCGTCAGGCACCGGGGGCCAGGGCAGTTACTCAGCAAACCAGGCACCTGTGGCTTCCAAACCCTTCCTTTGGCCAGATGCCAGGCATCTGTGCGCCCTCACTGTGCGGCCAGCTCTGCACCAAGGGGCAGCTACAGGGACAAGCCCGATGGTGTAGATGCTGGCCCAGCCCTACCACTCACACTCTTGCTGCTGTGGCTGGGGCGGGTAGGGGAGGAATGGGGTTCCCACCCCAGCTCTGACACTAGCTCCACCCCTGTGCGACCTCCTCCTTGGTCCCAGCCTTTCAGCCTGGACGGCAGAGGTTGGGGGGGGCTCAAGTCAACAGCCCAGGGTTCAAATGTGCACCTTGCCAGTGACCCGTGCATGTGCCTCAGTTTCCCCAGCTGTTGCAAGTCTACAAATGTTAGCACTTTCCCGTGAAGACACACCCCTGCCCTCAGAGCCGGAGTCCTAGTGTGTGGGGGGACGACACACCTCCTGGGTGGGCCCTAGGTTAGGTAGTGGTGAGTCCACAACGGCAGCAGACGACAAGGGGCCTTCCATGAGAGGTCAGGGCTGGGGTTATTCTGTGTGTGGTGGGCCCTGGAGGGCGGGAGGACTGTGGGGCAGAGGCTGGTGGGGGCAGGTTTAGGCTCCCACTCGGGACCCTGCGGTTCCACACAGACCACCAGGTGGCAGGGCTGAGCACACTGCGTGGCTCAGGGGCCTTTCCTGGACAGGGAGGCTCCCTCCCAGCCAAGCTGGGTCCTGGTGTCCAGAGTCACTGGGGGCCTGGGCAGCTGAAAGCTCTCTGGCTGCCGGGGCCCCGGCTGAGCTGAGACACACCTGGCAGGCAGGTTTTATACCAGCAGAAAGGTGGGCGCTCCCAAGCAGCCCCTCCCAAGCGGCCCCCTCTGTCTGGGATGCTCCTCGGGCACCTCCTCCCAGGCCTGGCTCCTCCCGGCCCCTCAGTGCAGCTGTCACCTCCCAGTCCGGCCTCCACTGAGCTCCCTGCCCTGGTCCTCATGTCACCTGGGTCACCCTGGGGAGTCATCTGGGCATCGTTTACTCATTGGTCAGCCTCCTCTGGTGGACGAGAGCCCATGAGGATGCCTTTGGTCTCTGCTGAACCCCCGAGACCAAACACACGGGCTGGCACACAGTAGGGGCTCAGTTTATGTTGCTGAATGAACCAGCGGGGTGTCTGTTCAAGGAGCAATGTGGCCGGCTTCTGCTGGACATGCCAGGCAGCTCCAGGATGCCCAGCCACAGCCACCCCCTCAACCTCGTCCCTCCCCCGTGATTCCCCAAACAAGCCAGGATTTCTGGGCTCTGGGCCTTTGCACATGCTGTGTCATCTGCCTGGCCGACTCCTGACTTTCAGGACTGAGCACAGCTGCAACCTTCTCCGGAACACAGAGGCCTCTGTGGGGCTCTCGGTGGGTCATCACATCACCACTTACAGTGTCTGTCTGTTGGGTCCCCCTCAGCCCTTGAAGGAGGGACCCCAGGTGACCCATCTCCATGTGTCCAGGGCCCAGCACACGGCGGGGCCGGTGGATGCTCAGGACAGCTTTGTGGTGACTGACAAGCGAATCCCCAATGGGATCCCAGCTCTGCTGTCTTCACCGGGAGGCCTGGGCCCCCGGGCAGAGGTGGACGGAGCCAGTGGTCACCCCGCTCCCCGCCCAAGGCCCAGGCGACCCCTACCCAGGATGCAGGAGTGCGTGAAGGGGCCCTCGCTGGAGTAGAGGCCGTAGGTTCCCAGGTAGGGCGACACCACCTTCTGGATCAGCGTCTCCAGGCGCAGGTAGTCCTTGGTCACGCCCCGGGACTCATGCACCCCCTGCGAGAGAGGGAGGGAGTCGGGGGGCAGGCGCCCTCGCCCACACTGTTCCATCCACCAGATAGCCTGTTCCCTGCCTCCCCAGCCCAGCCGGGATTAACTCAAAGGTCACCACAAATGGCCTTCTCCCTCCTCCCCGTTCCCACGGGGTCCTGGCCCCCATAAGTGCCACAGCGACCCCCTGTCCCAGCCCTCTCTTGAGTTGGGGCCCATGAGTCACTCCCCTGCTCCAGCACCCCCTGTGCTGCCCTCTGCACACAGCAGCCGTCAGGGTCTGGAGACCATGACGCCCCATGGGAAGGGGCCCCGTGAACAAGCTCTGCTCCTCGGGAGAGACCCCTGCGTGCTGGCTTCCTAGAGGCTCTGGGCCATCCTGCGGGGCCCAGCTCATCACCCGGGGCTCCCCACCCTCTCTTTCACCCCGGGGAGGGCTGCAGGCAGGAGAGGCTGCCCCACGGGGCCAGGCCCAGGGCCACATCCAAGCTGGGCAGTCAAGGCCTATCCATCTGACAGCCACCCGCCCTCTCATCTGCTCCACGCTGCCAGCTCTCATCTGCTTCCTCCCCTCGTCCAGGGCTTTGAAGGGATCTCCGCCTCCTCTGGTTTCATTAGAGCCAAAGCCTGAGGAAGGAAGCTGCCCACAGGACAGCCCTGGTTTTGCTGATCCGGGGCCAGCTCCGTGCCCTCAGCACCCCTGGCAGAGCACCAGCACACAGCATGCGTTTACTGAGTGCTTGCTGAATGAACCATGTCTAAATGAACAAATGAAAGACAGCACTCCTCTGGGGGCCGCCAGTTGGTTAAGGGACAAGATACGCTCCAGTGGAATGTCAAACGATGGTTCAAGACGTCAAGAGAAACCAACTATACGCCGTCTACAAGAAACCCATGTAAACCATAAAGACGCATGCAAACGAAAGTGATACGGGGGAGAGAGACACGCCGCGCTCCCCTAACCAGAAGGAAGCAGGATGATTTCAGACAGCACAGACTGCAGACCAAGAAAGTGACCAGGAATAAAGAAGGTCATTAGGGATGCCGAAGAAGTCAGTTCTCCAAGACGACACAACAAGCCTTAACGTGTACGCATCTCACAAGAGTGCCAAACTACGGGAGGCCAAGCGCACAGACCCACAGGGAGAACAGAGAAATCCCCACTCACGGCTGGGACTTCCACACCCTCTCAGAAATGGATCCAGAGCCAGGAAATCAGTAAGGACGTGGCCGACTTCCGGACCCAACAGCACCATCGATCAACTGGATACAGTCGCCATCTACAGACGACTTCACCCGACAACAGCGGGACACACGTTCTCCAGCCCACAGGGAACATTCGCCAAGACAGACCACGTTTGGGGCCGTGAAACACATCTTAGAGTTAAAAGAACAGAAACCACACAGTGTCTGCTCCCAGACCACAATGGAACCAAACTAGGAATCACTAAGAGAAAGACAGCTGGAAAATCCCCAAATACATGGAGATTCAACAACTCATTTCTACATAACACATGGGTCAAAGAAGAAATCTCAAGAGACATTTTCACTTTGAACGAAAGGAAAATGAAAACAGAACTTTTCCCAATTCGTCGGCTGCATCGAAAGCAGTGCTTAGAGGGAAACTGACAGCACTGAGTGGATATATCAGAAAAGAAAAAGATCTAAAATCAAAATCTAAGCTTCCACTTTAGGAAAGCAGAAAAAGAAGAACAAATTAAGTCCAAAGTAAGCAGAAGAAAAGAAATAAGAATCAGAATAGAAATCAATGAAATTGAAAACAGGAAATTTATCGAGAAAAATCAACAAAACCAAAAGCTGGTTCCTTGAAAAGATCAGTAAAATCAGTAAGCCTCTAGCCAGGCTAAGAAAAAGAGAGAGACAAATGACCAAGATCAGAAATGAAAGGGAGACATCAGTACAGACCCCATGGATCCAGCTGCGTTTGGATGAGGGGGCGGGATTCCACAGGTGCCCCCATAAGTCATCCAGATGGACATGTAGGACCCCACATTCCCCTGGGATTGTCTCGGCCGCCAGCCATAGTGCCCTGGATGAGGACGACACTACCGCTGGGCTGTGCTGGGCATTTGGCAAACTCCATGCTGTTCCTTCCCAGAGCCTGTTTATCTGTGTGTGCTCAGGTGCATGGCCGTTACCTCGGCTTCTGGGACTGTGACAAGGAACTGTGACTCTGTGGGTGAAGCACAGGGCACACCTGAGGCCCTCAACCCACAGTGACCAGCAGCTGTGACCTCAGATCCATCTGGGACTCAAAAAGTGGGGACGGGGTCACTGCGGGGCTGGGACAAGGGCATTCAAAGTTTGGGCCAGGTTGGGGTGGGGCAACAGCCAAGGGTTGTGGTTGGGGGGGCGGTTGCACCCACCAGGGGCAGGAGAACAGGCTGGGGGGCATGAGGCCCAGCCCAGGAAGCTGCAGGAGGCACAGCCACCACCAGGGGGCAGCACCGCCCCAGCCTGGCCGCCCACTGGGGTGCCCTCCATGGGATCAGGGGCGACCTTCTCCTTCATGGCTCTGAACCCCAGCCCCGTCGCTGCCTGCTCCTGGGCACCTCAGCTTCACACCCCACTTCTCCTCATTATCCTCACACAGGCCGAGAGATGTAACATCCCTCAAGGCCCCCAGCTTCAACCCAGCCAGGTCCGACCTAAAATCCCTCGAAATCCCAGGGGCAGGCTGGGCGTCCCGCTTGGATGACCACCAGCTCCCACCCAGTGCGGCCCCTCGACCCTTCAAACCCCCACGTCCATCAGCCCCTTCACCGGGATGTCGTGGGCCCAGGACCCGCCTCACAGGCCCTAATTCAGGATTTTGTGAGGGGGGACTCAGAACAACAGCCAGGCCTTCGGAGACCATCTGACTGGGGTGGGGCCAGGCCTCTGGCCTTGTCACGTCGGGCCAGCAAGGACGCTATCTCCCCGCCTGTAAAACGGCTGCTGACGGTGCCTACCCTCGTCCTGAGACAGTGAGATGAGCCGGCACACTGTAGGGTGCTGTGCCCATCGCAGTGCTCACGACGCAGCTGTTTGCAGAAAGGCCCAGTTTGCAGTGGAGGCTGCTGGTGGCCCATCAGATCCCATCTTGGGCAGGCCACTCACCCCCAGCTGCCGGGAGTGGGGCCACCAACTGTGGGCAGCCGTCCCCTCCCAGAGCTGTCCTCGCAGATAACAGCCAGCCACACCAGAAGCGTCTGGAACCAGTGTGGGGCGTGGGGGGAGGCGGCCCCAGCCCCAGTGACTGAGGAGGGGTGTGGAAGCCCAGCCCCCCACCCACGAGGGACAACTCAGGTCCCGTTCACACTCCTGGGCTCCCCGCGGACCAGGCTGAGGCCAGCCTCCTCCAGAGCCCACACCTTGGACTGACCCCTGTGCCCCTCTGTTTACCCTCTCCCCTAGAGGTTTCTCCCGAGAGTCCCCACTGACAAGTCACGTGGACCCAAACCCTCGTCTCAGGCTCTGCCTCTGGGGAGCTTGGCCTTGCGCCCCCGGGTGCCCCTGACACGGGCCCTACCCACCTGCAGCACCAGCAGCATCTGTACGATAGCGGGGGGCACGCGGGCGTGGCTGCGGGCCAGCGCGTCCTCCAGCTTCACGCTGAGGGTGATGGCGTTCCGGAAGTGCAGCAGGGCCAGCTGGCGCACCGAGGGCTCCTTGCCCTGCAGACACAGGACACCGCGCCCACCCCTGCTGTCACGTGAGATGCTCGCTCCCCCCGAGTCCCCAGTCCCGGGGCCAGACACCAGAGAAAGGACCCACTGACCCTCAGGCCCCCGTCCACCCGGCTGTCCTCCCCAGATGACCCTTGTCCTGAGGAGACAGGGCCCCTATCGGCTTCCTCAGGCAAGGAAAGGGATACTGTCACACAGCCCCTACTACGCACCGGGCATGGCCTACTGTGTGCTGCTCAGGGCTTTACAGGGCCCTTAGGAGGGAGCTGTCCTTACTCCCGCCTTGTGGGTGAGAAACGGGTTCTGAGAGGTCCAGGGACGTGCCCTGGCGCAGACAGCCCATGTGTGGGGGCGAGGGCAGAAGGGTGTTCCCCCCAGGCTGAGCAGCCTGGAGCGAGGCTAGCGTGGGCTGTCACCGTGGCCCGGGCTCCCACAGCCACGGGGGCCACTCGCCTGCACCGGGTAGAAGATGGCCTGCAGGGTGGGCAGCACATCGCTGAAGAAGAAGTCCCACGTCTCCGCCAGCGAGTCCAGCAGCTTCTGTCCTGCGGGCACAGGGGCGTCATGCCTGGCCCGAATGGGCTCCGGCAGGCACGTCACGCCCTCCCGGGTCGGGAGTCGTCTCTCCCGTCCACAGGAGGACGTGGGAGCCATGGGCCGGGCTCCGGGCCCCAGAGGAGCCCCCTTTCCACCCCCCAGGTCGACAGCACAGACCGCTTAGCAGCTCTGTGGCCTGTGCCTCAGCGTCCCCGTGTGTAAAATGGGCCAGTGACGGGGCTGACCTCCCAGAGCCGAGGGGATGAAATGAGCCCATCAGGCCTGGGGCAGAGAAGTGCCGGTGGTGCCAGCCGTTAGTGCCTGTTCCCCCAGCGGGCGCCCAGCTCACATCCCTGTCTCATCCGATTCACCCAACAACCCCGAAGCACTTGAGGAATCCATCCACCTGTCCTTCCCTCCCATCTGTCCATCTGCCCATTTACACAGCACCTACACTGTGCCAGGCCTCACGCTGGGGACCCAGCCGAGTCCCAGACCCATCACGAGACAGGGAAGCAGGACACTGAACAGCAATTATGAGGACAATGGCGATGGGTGACCTCACTGGGCAGATGAGACCGAGCCTCCAAAAGGTTCAGGTCTCTCCCTCGAGGGCCAGGGTCTCCCGGACCCCAGGCTGCGTGACGTGGGATCTGGGGACCCAGCGAGACCACAGCCAACAGCAGTAACATGTCTTAGGTATGAGAGGGGAAGAGAGGGGTGGAGAGGATCAGGCTGGGAAGGCTTCCTGGAGGAGGTGCTACCCAAGTTGATTTAGGAGCAGGGGTTTGCCAGGTTGACCAACACCCTTGGTGTGCGAACCATGAAAGCAGATGTGTGGAGAGCAGGCATTTCTGCCAGCCCTGGGGAAAGAGCTGTGCCCTTCTCAGGGTGGACAGCCCCTGGGGGATGGAGACAGCTGAGGTGCCCCAAGCCGGCTCTGGGCCCCCCAGGACATGCAAAGTGCTGAACCCTCAGCCCTTCTGCCTGGAATGACAGGAAGCTGGGGTGACGGGCAGCAGGGTCTGGGACAAGCAGGCCCTGGTACGGGTCACCGAGGCCCCTGCTGCTTGGTGGGATCCCCCTTTAAGCCAGACTAGCAATGGGTCGGAGGAAAATGGGGTGTGGCGGGCGTCTCCGGGCGAGGGGGGGAGTGCCACACGCGGGCCAGCCTCCCTGACTCTGCTGCTCCTGCCAGACGGCCTCCAGGTCTCCATGGCAACAGGGAGGCCGGACAGAGACCTTCGCCTCTCTTCTCCTCACTTCTCCCGGGGGCCCCACAGAGCCCCCCGGTCCGTGTGGGCGCTGGGGCTCTGAGAGGGGAGCCCGGCCAGCCCAGCCGGTGGGGAGGAGGGTCCGGCCTCTGTGCGCGGCCTGTCTGCTGGCACTGGGGCTCCCTGCCCAGCAGCCAGCTCCCCATCCTCCTGGGGGGGCCCACCTGGCTCCGGGGAGCCCAGGCTGGGCGGGTCCTCGCCGCGCCGGGAGCTCTGTCTGTACAGAGAGGTCCCTTCAGGTCCCCGGTCCTGGCAGGAAGAAAGGCAGCTCAGTTCCCTGGGCCGGCCGTGGGGTGGCTCTGGGCCCAGGCCAGGCCGGCGGCCGTGGAGCACAGGCCCTTCTCCAGCCCACAGGGCAGAAACGCTGCGGAAAGCAGATGTTGTCCAACACGGAGGCCAGGCCGGCCAGAGCCGCAGGCTGACCGAGAGGCCGGGAGGCTTGGCCATGCCCACGGCCGGGTTCTCTGCTGGGGACTGTGGTCTGGGGGTGGCAGGGTTGTCAGGGGTTAGAGTCTGGCGGCATGGCGTTAAAGCCCTGCTCTGCGTTGCTGTGGGACCCCAGGGGTCAGCGTGGTCCTCTTTAGAATGGACGCAACAGATGCCCCCCATGCACAGGGCTGGAAGCCGCCACAGGACAAGTGCTCAGGGCCAGCTGTCGACGTGATGACCGGTGGGCCACGTGGGCAGTGTCTGTGCTGAGGCTCAGCAGGACCGGGCGGCGGCAGTGGCCCTGAGCTGGGTCTCTCTCGCGGCTGGGTCAGTCTGTCTGTCTGTCTTCCTTTATCCAGTCCGAGTGCTGAGGGCCAACAGTGCGGGCCCTGGAGACCACAATGAGCCAGGCCAACGGTGGCTCAGGTCTCAGCCCATCGCGAGGAGACCCCGGGGACAGTGATGACCACAGGGCCTGGCTGCAGCCAGAGCTCACTCCGGCCAGCCATGGCGACGAGACCACCAGACCACGACCTGGGATGTGGTCCCGGGAGGGAGCCTCCACCTCAAGGCTGGCCCCCAGGCTTTCCATTTCCAGGATCGCTCTGCTCTGGAGCTGACATCCAAGGCCTCACTGGAGGCTGGAGAGAGGAGCAGGTGGCGAGGGCCTGGGGCTGCCCCACGTGGGGCCACCACCCCCTCCAACAGAGGCACGGTGAGGCCATAGCCAACCACAGACAGCAGACTCCCAAACCCGGGTGGGGGATGGAGGGGGAGGCCCTCGAGGCTGCCTCAAAGGTGTGGCATCAGCTCCTGTTCCCACTGCATGGGCTGAAGGGAACCAGACGCCCTCCTGAACGGACCACATTTTGACATCCTACTCCAGGGCCACCGTCTCCATGCAGCCCTCCCTGACTGCCAAGGTGGAACTAACCTGGGCTTCCCTTCACCCTGACACCAGACTGTCTCCATCTGGTCCATGACGGCGTCCCCAGCTGGGCAGGGCCTGGCTCTCCTCCATCTCTAGATCCCCAGAGGCCACCCAGGGCCTGACACGTACTGAGCACGTGGATGGAGCCCGTCCAAGCCCACCGTGCTAACTGGGGACACTGAGAACACAGGGAAATGACGTGTCTGTGGCCAGATGGGAATGGGAGGCCGGGCCCTCTGGCCCCCAGCCTGGGGCTCTGTGCCTGTCCGAGGCCTGGGGAGGCTGGACGGGGCTGGCACACCCCGCTGGGTGGCCTGGTGGACATGGCCGCTGCAGGCAGGACCCCACCAAACTGCACAAAGCTCCCTTCTCCAAGGATCCAGGCTCCCCCGGGCCGAGCTGGTAGGAGGCACAAACGCTGCGGGAATGCGCCGAGTCAGGAGAGGGTGTGGGAGGCCGTCTCCACCAGGTGCCAAATCCTCACCGCCCCATCTCAGCGGCTTAGAGACGGCCTCCTCCAGGGAGCTCACCCAGACCCCGGTGGCCTGTGCTTCCCGGTGCTAAAGGAACAGGGGACACGCAACTCAGAGTGCCCCCAGAGCACACCAGGCCACCAGGCCTCAGTCTGCTCCTCCGTGAAACGGGCCAACATCCCCTCTTTCTAGAATCAGAGTAAGGACTCGAGAAGGGATCTGGAGCAGCAAGAGAAGAGCACAGGCTCAAGGAGCCAGGCTGCCACATAGCAGCCACGTGGCCTGGGCAAGTTACTGAACCGCTCTGTGCCTCGGTTTCCCCATATGTTCAGTGGCTACAACAATGGCACCTTGCTTACAGGGCTGTCGGAGAAGCCAAGGAGTTAGCAGATGGAAAACACTCAGGACAGTCTAGCACAGAGCGAGCATGTGCCTGAGGCCCGGCACACAGCAGGCGCTCAACAAATGCTCCTGGAACCCGACCCTGCGCAGGGCCTGAACCCACAGCAGGTCCTTAGCAAGGGCATACTGGTGTGAGCTGGGTCCTCCTATAACCCGACCTCCCCCAGGCCAACTCACTCCCGCAGGAGGCGCACGCCTCCGTCGTCGCCCCACGGCCCGCAGACACTGGGAGCCCGAGGGAGCTGGGACCCGGCTTTCCCGCGAGACTCAGGGCCCAGGGGAGGCAGACGGCCGTTGGTCAGAACCCTCCCCTGAGCTGCTGAGGCCTGAACCAGGCAGAGGCCAGCGGCAACTCATGGGCATCTGGAAGGGCAAAGGCGTGCGCTCTGAGTCAGGCTGGCCTGGGTTTGAATCCCATCTCCACCCCTTACTTGCAGCGCAGCCACGGACAAAGAGCCTGCCATCACTGCGCTGTCCCCCAGCCGTGAAATGGGAACAGTGACCCGAAGGTCTCACAGAGTGGCTGTGAGCGTTAAAAGAGAAAACTCGCCCAGGATGCCCAGTGCCAAGGCTTGCCCCGAACCCTGTGGGACAGCTGCTCCCACGGGGGTGGCGGCTCCCTGCTCCAGCCTCTTCCCTCGGGAGAATCGGGGCAGCCTCTGCCCTAAACCAGTCCTCTGGTCCTCAGAGATCCTGGCGGGGTTCCCCCAGGTCCCTGGGACGGGGTTCACTGGGGCCAGAAGGCCCCAGGGGTGACGAGCTGGAGCAGGGCCGTCTCCCCGACGTCTCGGCCCTCCTGGGCTCAGGCAGATGGGAGGGCAGATCTCTCCCCAACAAGGTCCCCTCCTGGGTCAGATCTCAGCCCTGCTGCCCCTGAGCGTCACTTCTGCCGCTTCCCAGCCGCCAACCAGGAGGGCCACGCCGCCCATCCAGAGCCCCGGGGGCCCAGGCCAGGCTGGGAGTGCCATGGTTCCAGCAGGCACACCTGCAGAGCCCCCGCCCTGCGGCCCCAGCCGCGGGGCTGCGGACTCACCCTCGTAGAAGCGGATCTTGTCCCGCAGGATCACCATGCCTTTCGTCAGCAGCTGGTTCTGAAAGATACACACGAGACGCTGTCACTGCCCCGGGGGTGCCCCGGGACCTGGCGGGCAGGGCCTCCAAGAGCCCACCAATAAGCCGCCGAGGCCCAGAGGGGAAGGGACTTGCCGACGTCCCACAGCCCACTGCGACACAGCCTGAACCTCGGCTCGCCTGGGAGGACACTGACAAGTGACCCCCCAGGGCCTGTCACCAGACAGGAGGGGCTGCAGGGACACCCGAGAGACAGACCCAGCCTGGAGCCTCCTGCCCCAGGCTGAGCCAGGCAGGCAGCACCCCACGAGAAGGAAGGACTTGCAACAAGAGGGGCCTAACGACTGAAGGCCTGGCTAAGAACAGCCACCATCAACGCGGGGCTCAACCCACAGGCCACGTGACGCTGCCCCGGGCATGTCGGCTGAGAAGGACACCAAGCTCAGCTCCACCCACAACAGACAGGAGGTGAAAACAACCCAGTGTCCACTGACGGACGGACGGACAAACGAAATGGGGTGCATCCATACAGTGGAACACTACTCAGCTGTAAAAGAGAACGCAATACTGACACGTGGTACAACACAAATGAATCTCAAAAGCACTGCTTAGCGAAAGAAGCCAGACACAAAAGGCCACACTGTGTGATTCTGTTGATATGAAACGTCCAGAACAGGCAAATGCAGAGACAGAAACTAGATCAGGGGTTGCCAGGGGCTGGAGGAAAGGGGAAAGGGGACTCATTGTTTATAGATGTGGGGTTTCTTTTTGGGGAGATGAAAAGGTTCTGGAATTAGATGGGTGTGATGGCCACACAACTCTCTGACTATACTAAAACCCGCCGAATTGTACACTTTCAATGGGCTCACAGTACAGTATGTGAATTGCACCTCAATAAAGCTGTTAAATTAAAAAAACAACCCTAAACCGACGTGACATGCCCTGGCAGGGCGGGTCCCTCGCTCTGAGCCTGCACGAGGAAGTCCCCACACACCCCGGGTGTCGCTGTCACCCTTCCTGGCTGTGTGACCTCGGCAGGTCCTCTCACGTCCCCGAGCCCTAGCTTCCTGTGTGTTCACCAACTTTGCAGGCCCGTTGGCCGGACGGGATACGCCGAACGGAAGGTGCTGCAGGGCCTGGGACAGAGGGGCCTCGGGGATGCTGACATCGTCACCATGCAGCTCCGGGCCCTCAGGTGACCCTACACTGACATTCCGGGAGGTGGACAACTAATAAGGCTAACACTGAGGCCCGCCACGTGCCAGCACAGCACCAAGACTCCACCTGCAACCTGTCATTTAACCTTCACAACAACCCACCTCGGCTAGATGGGGAAACTGAGTCACGGTGTGGGGGAGTCCTCGGGACCTGGGGTTCCACACACCCACCAAGAGGAGGTGACCCCGTCCTTCCTGGCCACCCGGGAGCAATTCCAGCCCAGCTGGACAGTGCAGACACCCACCTGCAGGTACTCCGTGAAGAAGGACCCCAGCTCCGTCTTCAGCAGTTGCCTGCGGGCGGGAGGGAGACGAGAGGGCGAGAGGGCGTGAGTCAGAGACCGCATGGCGCTGGTGAGGGGGCCCGGGGGCCGGGCAGGGGGAGACCAACGCGCTCTGCCCAGCCTGAGGGGTGGGCACATCCCACCTGTCCAGCACTGCAGGGGGCGGGGATGGCCGTGCGCTCCCGTGGTCCAGGCTGTGGCTCATCACCCCTTCACACAAGCAGCAGCTGGAGAGGCCCCAGAGGGCCACAGCGTGTCACACGTCCTCAGGGAGACACCTGGCGGGGCTGCACCTCCACCTGCCCAGCTCCCAGAGCCGACAGCACACCCACAGCCCGCTTTCCCTGCCCTTCTCTCCCTGCACGGCCTTTCCACGCGTCTCCCCCTTCGCTCTAAGCTCATTCCGTCTTCACCAACCCAGCAGCAGGCGCTGATGGCAGGTCCCTTTCACAGGTGAGGCGAGACAGGCTCAGAGAGGTCAAGTGCCTTGTCAAGGCCACACAGGACACACCAAGTTAGGATGTGAAGCTTGTCCTTTGCACTCACGGTGACAATTCCTTGCACTGCACATCCGGTGCCGAGAGAATAGTGGGCGTCACATTCCAGACCAACCACAGCCTGAAAACACTCGGCATTGTCAATGTTAGGCCCAACCCTCAACCTCGCCAACAGTCTTATGTTCTGAACCAAATATATCAAAAACCTCAATCAGAAACCGATCCTGGATTACAGGCAGTCCTCACTTTGCATGGTTCTGATTTTTTATGAATTTCAGTTAGCACAATTTAGTTAAATTACACCAATCCCCTAACAACACAGCTCAAATTTCAGTTATCAGGTATAAGAACTGTGAGCAGCTCCCTAAAGTACGTCTCTGCCCGCTCTCCAGTCCACGAATCACCGCACAGATAACAGACGTGCGTCAGGATCAGTGACCAATCCCGTCACGCCTTTCAAAGTCGGTCTGTGATTGGTCCCTGCACCTGTCATTCATCACGCACAGGCAGCAAAGTGCGGTCCTGTTGCCTCCTTGTCCCCCAGTGATAAGTGACATTTTAGAGAAACGGATGAGCAGTAAGAGGGACAGGCCAACAGAGACAAAAGTGCAGCAAACAAATGAGAAGTGGTAATGCCGACCAGGCCAACACCCTTCAAACCACTCGTGCTTTCACAAAGAAATGAAACACTTCTCCGTGTTTCTGATGTTTTAAACACAGTGCACTAGATAAGTACTCACTTTACTATCTTCCTCATTTCCCCAAACATTTACAACCAACAGTGACAGAGCTTTTAATATTTCGCCAAAGTTTTTCAAGATCAGGGAACAATCGTTGTTTTCCCCGTTGATTAATAACTTTGCACAGTTTCGGCCCGCAGTCACTTTAGGTGGCCCTGCGACGCCGTGCTGAGAGAACCGGCTGTATTTTTCAAAAGCAACACAGCGCAGAAACAGCCCGGGACAGGGCTTGCTTTCTGCAGGCTGCCCCCACTTCCCGCCGGCCGTGCCCGGGAGTCACAGGGTGACAGTCACCCGCTCCCGCCTCCATCGGTTCTCTCAATCTTGGAGCTGCCCGCGCGCAGGCGTTTGGTGGGGGCACTGAACTCACCTCCCCCACACCCAGTAAGCGGCGCTCTGGTCCTCAAAGGCCTTTTTGGGGTGGCTGCACTTTTTCCTCCTGGTGGAGCTGTACGCTGGACCCCAGTTCAGGCCTGGCTGCCCCCACCAGCTCCATGGGGACAGGGACCTGGGAGCCAAGTGAAGCAGAGGTCAGGTGGCCTGTGCAGGGTGACCAGCACCCCAGCTGCTGTGATGGGGGTGGCTCCGTGTCCTGACCATCCGGTCATCCCTGGAGCTTGGGGCTTCAGGCAGGACCTGCAGGTGCACAGGAGATGGGGTGCGGGCACTGAATAGCTCTCAGGGGCCACAGCCAAGCTGGGCCAGTCACAGACCTCAGGTGGTCCTGGTGTCCCTGTTCTATGGAAGAAGAGACCGAGGTTCAGAGTAACAGCAGCTGTCTGGAGGCAGCCCTGGAGCCCTGCCCTGCGCCCCTGGCTGGCAGCTCCTCTTAGCACAGGACCAATGTCACGTCACAGCCCAATGCCGTCCCTGCACAACTATGAAATTAACAGAGGCATTCACCAGGCTGAGGCCCGCCTGCGACAGCAGTGGGGGCAAAGTGCTGACCAGTGTGAAGCCAGCGACCCTTTGCAGTCAGCCCGCACCCAAGCCGTCCTCCTCTCTCTCCCACCGTCCCGTGGGTCCAGCCATCTGGGCCTCCAAGGACCAAGCCGTGGGTGACCTCGAGCTCCTGGGGGGATCCCCATGTCCAGGCTCAGAGTCTGTCTCAAGATTAATGCCTGCACAACACGGGGAGCCACTCTGGGCAAGGCCAGAGAGCAGGGGCAAGGAGGGAGGGTCTTCCCAGAGGCCCAAGGCTGGGCCTGGGTAAGTCCTCGCAGGAGGCTGGGGGCCAGAGGGCAAGCCCAACGCGGCTGGCACGCCGTGAGACGCCAAGCAACACCCCTCCTGTGCCTGAGCACTGGCACCCCCATCCGTGGCCTGAGACGCCAGAAGGTAGAGCAGGGGGGCCTGGGAGGTCAACTGGGATCATGGCTGATGCCCAGCATATGCAGCAGCTGCTCTGTAACGCCCTCCTTGCCCTCTCCCCTGCCCACAGTTAGTGAGCGTCTGTGTGAGGGAGGGAGGGAGGGAGGTCTCCTTCAGGGCCGAGCAGACCCTCAGCTCACCAGGGCTGGAAAACCCGAGTGGTTCTGACGGAGCCCGTCTGGGGCGGCTCCACCCCACTGCAGGCTGCCCCGGGGGCTCCCCGCTCCTCCTGACAGCTCCTCTCAGTCACACTCACTGAGCCCCTGGGCAGGGGTGAGGGGCTCGGCTGGCCGGGATAGGTTCTCCATCTGCAAAAACTATATGTAAAGTGTCCGTTCCTGCCCCTTAGAAGACAAGTGGTCAAAGGCAGGGATGAAGAGAGGGCTGGGTGCAGAGACCAGACTCCATCCAAAGGAAACTCTGCGCTTCCAAGGACACCATGGAGACCGTGAAAAGACAACTCATGGGATGGGAGAAAAGATGAGCAAATCAGTGTCTGGTAAGGGTCTAGATTCAGGACATATAAACTCGTTGCAACTCAACAGTCAAGACAACCCAATTAAAAAACGGGCAAAGGACATAAGAGAGATTCTCCAAAGAAGATACACGAACGGCCAGTAAGCACGTGAAAAGATGCTCACGGCCGTTAGTCGTCAGGGAAAGGCAAATCAAAACCACAAGATGGCACTTCACACCCACTAGTGCTGCTAGAAGAAAGCAACCGGAAAACAACAAGGGTGGGTGAGAAGGTGGGGACCTTGCCAGTGGGACGTCAAAGGTGCAGCCGCTGTGGAAAACAGCTGGGTGCATCCCCATAAGTTAAACGTACGCGCTGGCCCGGTGGCATAGTGGTAAAGTTCATGCTCCGCTTCGGGAGCCTGGGGTTCACAGGTTCACATCCCAGGCACGGACCTACGCACCGGCTCGTCAAGCCATGCTGTGGTGGCGTCCCATATAAAGTAGAGGAAGGTGGGCATAGATACTAGCCCAGGGCCAGTCTTTCTCAGCAAAAAGAGGAGGATTTGCAACAGATGTTAGCTCAGGGCTGATCTTCCTCACAAAAAAAAAAAAAGGTTAAACAGAGAGGTGCTGTATGACCCAGCAAGTCCACCCCCAGGTACGCACCCGAGAGATGAAAATGCTCGTCCACACGAAACCCCGCACACAGATGCCCACAACAGCACACTTCACAATAGACATAAGGTGGAAACAACCCAAATGTCCATCAACAGATGAGTGGATAAAGAGAACGGCGTGTTCTCCATATAATGGAATATTATTTGGCCATAAAAAGGATGGAAGTTCTGACGCCTGCCCCCACACGGATGAACCTCGAGTACAGATGACTCTCCTCAGTGAGGGGAGCCGGACACAAAAGGCCACACACACGTTGCGTGGTTCCATTCACACAAAATCTCCAGAGTGGGCGAATCCAGAGAGATGGAAAGCTGACCGTTATCTGCCAGAGGTGGGCAGGGGGGACATGGGGAGTGACTGCTAAGGGGTACAGGCCTTTGGGGGGTGATGAAATGTTTTGGAGTTACATAGTGGTGATGGCTGTACAACCTTGTGAATACACTAAAAACCAATGAACTGTACATTTTAAAAGGGTGAATTATATCTCAAAGAAAAAAAATAAAATGGGGGAAAAAAAGAACGATGGCCAGAAGTCATCAGCCCCGGCCTGACTCACGCCTGGGCACAGCCAGCGACCCCTCCCCTTAATCTCACTCATCAGCCTCGAGAACCGAGGGAAACACTTGGATAACGGTGCCATCAATGGCTCGTCACAAGGCTCCCTCGTGGGATCAAAGCCAAGGACCAGTTATAGATTTAATGCATAATTCAATTCACTTAATTTAATGTGGCACACGATGCAGAAGAGCTGGGCTGGTGGGCTGTCCTGAAGGACCCACAGGCCCCGAGTCCCAGCTCCACTAACTAGCTCTGTGATCGCGAGCAACCCACGACCTCTCTGTGCCTCAGTTTCCGCATCTGTAAAATGGAGACAATAAGGTGCCCACTCCTCAGGCCTGCGGCAAAGTTTAAGGCATGGAAAGCTCGTGGTTCAAGGCTGCCACACAGAAAACCCTCAACAGAAAGGCCTTGTTGTTATTACTTAACGATTCACAGCATTTAATCTTAAACTGGCTAAAAAGAAGTTGTCCCCAGATGACGTAACTGGCCAAGAGCTCCACGTCTCACGTCACCTGGACCTCTACCTGTTTCTTGGGTGAGGATCCTGGGGCTGGCGACGGGGGCCTGGGGCCCAGGGTAGCTTCTCTGTCCCCCTTCCCCCAGCACACACCCCCAAGGGAGGCCGCCTGCTCCATGCCAACCCCTAGGGGCTGGGGACAGGGACACACGGCCTGGAGTTACAGGCCCCACGGAAAGGAGGCAGCTGAGAGCCAGTCAACCACCCCTGCTGTCTGTCACTGGAGGGGAGGGGGTACAGACTGCCAGGGGCCGTGCTGGCTGCTTTGTTCATGAACTTAGAAATATTCCCTTTTGTTGTTGTTTAGACAGCCCGTGGATTCTTTAGGCTTTTATAAACTCCTCTTCCCTAAGTAGAGGCGTATTAGGAAGATGGGGCTGCCGGGAGCCCCATGGAGACCCCTGGGGCTGGATGAACCTGAGAAAAACAGGACCCCTGGCAGCTCGCGCTCCCTGGGCCTGGAGAGGCAACAAGCCCCTGCTGTGTGACTTCAGCCAGCCCCTTTCCCTCCTGGGCCTCAGTTTATCCGTCTGTAAGGGCCCTGTCAGCTCCGCCATACTAGAGTTGGGGTGGGGGTGCCACGTATGAAAATGCGACCCCCTCCCAATTACCCTTTTATTCCTGTCCTGAGCTGACGAGAAGGTTTGCTGCCTATTTCCCCAGACACTCTTTCCACCCAGGGACAGGGCAGCACAGGTCAGGGCAGGAGGGAAACAGCACAGAGGTGGGAAAGGCCTCCTGGTACAGCTGTGCGACCCTGGGCAAGGCTCTTGACCTCTCTGAGCTTCAGCCTCCTCCACTACGACTCAGGACTAACGCAGCTGGCCTTGCAGATCCTCTCGAAGCCGGTCCGTCCCAGGTTCCTTCACCAGTGCTCACTTCTCGGCTAGCTCAGGAAATGAGGGGCGTTCGCAGGGCTGCGATTGCTTTTCCGGAATGACACTCCCGTCATTAGGCAGGTGGGTCCTTCCTTTTTAACTGAGTAAATATCCTTCACGATACTTGACACCAGCAGGGACTCAGGCGTTATCTTGAGCCCCCGCCAAGTCCCACCCTGTTTCCCCTGAAAAGAAGTCCCCCGGGGGCCGGGGGCAGGCCCAGCAGGCCTGAAAGCCACATAACCAGGGCCTGCGGTCCAGGCCCACACGGTGGCCTGGTGGTCACTGTCTGTCATAGCTTTGAGGGTGGACCCCCAGGGTCCCCCCCCGCCCCCGGCACAGCCCTCCCGCCACTCACAGACCCAGGCCTGGGACGCGACGGCCACTCACCGGACGCCTTCGTTGAGGGTGAAAAGCTCCTGGTCGGGCAGCCCCTTGCGCTGGAAGACGGCGATCACCCCGTTGTGGATGCTGTGGGGGGAGTGGAGGAGGGGGTGAGTGCTGCCATCCCGAGGCCCCAGGCCCCCTCCCCGACACAGCCCTCCTGCTCTGCTCGAGGAACAGGGCGCCGTCCCCTCTCTTAGAAGCAGGCCCTGGCGCTCTGGGATCGGCCATCCCTGTGCGACCTTGTCCACACCAGAGCCTCGGTTCTCATCTCGACCCCAAGATCCTGCACCCCCGGCCTCCCTGGAGCCCCAGGCCTGAGTCACCAGGCACCTCCCGGTCACCATCACCTCTCCAGGATGTCCTGTGTGCCCTGCATACCCTCTGCCGCCAAACCTCGACGTGTCACTTTCCCTGCAAATGCTGCTTCCCTTCCTGTGTTCTTGAACTCTCCACACCCAGGCCAGAAACCAGGGGGCACCCTCTGATCACCTCTCCCACCCCCAAACATATCCAAGTCCAGTTGGCTGTCTCACCCTGCGCTTCAAGGTGCTGTGAGCTGGCCCCTCTGACCCTTGACCTCCCTGAGCACTGCACACCTCAGTTACTGGCACCCACCCCACTGGGGTAAGCTGCCTGTGGGCCTTTGCACGTGGCCTTTGTGCTGCCTGGTCCTCCCCCACCCCCTCCCTCACTTCCATCTACTTCCTTCGGATCACAGGCAGTCCTCAGCTGTCACAGCACTCGTCAGTGTGTAACCACGTGTATGCCCGATCTGTCTGGTTAACTTGTTTCCACCATTATCTAGAAACCGCCAGCGCACAGGCCCCTGTACTGTTTGTGACTCCACGCTCAGCGCCCGGCTCAAAGGAGAGGCTTGATGAGTATCTGGTGAAAACTCACCCTTGACGCGCCCATGCCCTCCAAATCCAGTGGATCCTGCAGTCCGACCCACTGCTACCTCCTAGGTCCCTGCTGCACCCTCCTCCCCCTTCCCACCCAGGGCCCCTCCTGGCTGACAGGACCTCTGATCTCACCCGCCCGCCTGCCCGCTGCATCCACCCTCCACTGTGACCCAGTCACTTCCCTGCCCAGGGCCGTGCGAGGCCTCCACTGCCCCGCAGATACAGCCCAAGGCCTGGACGTGGCATTTGAGGCTCGTCTGGAACGGCCCCTCCCTGCATTCCAGGACGTCCTACGTTCTGATCCCAGAGTCCTGGACACGCCGGGGGGTGCCACACCTCTGGGCCTTTGTACCCACTGCCCCTCCCGTGTGGAGGGTCCCCCTCCTCCCTGTTTACTAGACAAGCAGCTATTCATACCGAAGCCTCAGCTCAGAGGTCACTGCCTCCAAGAAGCCCTCCTGACCCCCTCCCTTCCCCATGCAGACTCATGTCCTGGCACTTTGCTGATTCACCTTCCTGTTAGTACCCCCCACCCAAGGGTGAGAACCAGGTCTGGATGGCGGCACCTCCCTCCACCCAGGACCCGGTCGCTGCTCTAAAGCTCACCACCACGGACTGGCTGCCATGATTCTCGGTGTGGAGGGGACAGGTGGACACACGCTGCTGTTCACACCACAGAGCAGGGAGCAGCCACCGAGCCCCTGGGGCCCTTGTCTGCCTTCATCCAGCTCCACCCTTCCCAGCAACGCAGCCTGGCCGCCCACTCTGCAGGTGGGCAGACTGAGGCTCACAGCGGCCAAGTCCCCTGCGGGAGGCCACAGGCCTTGCCCAACAGCTGCCCCCTCTCCCTGTGAGGCCTGCCCACATGGCGCCAGGTCCAGGCAGGGCTGGGTCAGGGCCCCACACCCCAGGCGCTGAAGGAGGCTCTGAGCAGTGCAGGGGCGTGTGCAGGTTCCCGGGCCCGGCCTGGCCAGAGGCTGAGAGTTAGCCCCGCTCAGGACTTATCACTGGCTTCTCCGCAGGCCCTGGCCGTGACCACGATGGACACTCGTCACCTGACCCGGGGTGCCCGGCCACTCCGGGGCCTGGTGGGTCCAGGCACAAGCGTCCTCTACCTTCTGTTTCCGGCCTGGGAAGTGGGGGTCATGGGTGTGCCCACCCAGGGCCTGTAAGGATGAAATGAAGGGCCAGGCCCGAGCCCCGGGGTGCGGTCACGGGCTCATCTGTTAGAAGCCCCTGGGGGGCCCAGCCCCACGACTATGTCACAGTAAGGCTGCTCCCACTTACACACTCAAAAAAGTGAAAATCCACCAGGAAGTCTAACGGCCGCCAGGAAGCCAGCGGTCCCACAGCAGGCGCCACCCTGGAATCCCATCGCTGGAAACTCACGCCCAGCCCGTGGGCGCCGCTGGGGGGACGTGTTGGACACAGTGCAGGGGGTCAGCCCCACCGGCCTGTCTGCCAGAGGAGCTGGGGGTGGCAGGCAGGTGGGCAGTCTTGACCACTGGGCGCCTGGCCACTCTGAGGCTCAGAGGGCCTTGCCCAGTGCCCCCTGGGGCCCAGGCCTCCAGCAGGGAGAGGGGACGGCGCGGACAAAGCCCCAAGGCAGGAGGAAGCCAGTGGAGGTGGCGCCCAGGGGCCTTCGAGGCCACGCCGGCCACCAGGCTTGGTCCTGCTGTCCTCACAGACCTGCTCCTCCGGCCTCTCCGTGTTCTTCCTCCTCTTCCATTAAACCTCCCAGAAGGACATCAGCCCACTCTGGTCCCCCCACCCAGAGGTGACCCTACACCGTGTAGCTCTGGAGGGCAAGGCCGGCTCTCTGGACAACGTCCTCTCCAAGGCCCTCGGGAGGTCCAATGCGCTGTGTCACTTGTACCCTCCTGCCTCTGGGCCTTCGTCCTTGCTGTGCCCTCTCCTGGAGGCCTGCCCTCCACCCACTGAATCCTGGAACCCCCAAGAGGTCAGGCCCCAACTGCTCACACCTGTGTCGGGGAGAGGCTCTGACCCCGGGCGTCATTGGGGGAGGGGAAGTCTGTTTTACTTTTTAGCCCCTCGCCCGGCCCTGCATGGGGGCTGCTCAGAGCATCACCCATCAAGAACCTGTCAGCGAACAGTTAACTTGGACTCTTCCGGCACATGCCTGGGCAGTGCCCTGCCCAGCCCAGGGGTCACCCCTGAGTTCTACCCCACCCCGCCTCCTGCTCTGTGAACCCTGCCCCGGCCCTTCCCACCTCCAGCCGCCAGGCTGGGTCAGGGGCCGCCCTGGGTGTGAATCCCAGCTCTGGGCTTCCTGGCTGTCCGCCGTGGCCAGGTGACCCGACCACCTGTCCTTCCGCTGCTCGCCCACATGATGGGATTCATAATCATGGCTCCTAAAGGAGACGTCGCAGGGGAGCAGGCCGTGCCTGGGGGTCATGTCTGTCATGGCATTGGTCAGTGGGGACTCCAGGGAGAGAGGTGCCCCCAGGAGCATCCATACAGCTCGACCATCTGCCCTCCGCGGTTTTCTCCATCTCTTCCTTCTAACCACTGCATGAGCTAGGCCAGGTCTACTCCAGATTGTAGAAGGAAACACAGGCTCAGAGAAGCCAAGGGACTGCCTAGAGTCATACAGCTTGATACCCGGCAGGGCCAGGACAGAGCCCGGGGCCCACGCCTCACACTCCCACCCCAAACCGGGGGAGGGGATGGACAGGCAAGGCCCCCTCCTTCCCGTCTCCCCTAACGCTGTAGGCTGAGGTTCCACGTTCTTTCCAAAGGTCAAGTTGGGTAAACAAAAAACCCTTACCATGAGCCACTGGGGGAGAGAGGAAGGGTGGGGAGAGCAGAGGACCTCATGTGACTGATCATCCCCCCAAAATAGAAGTGAAGTGAAACCCCAGCTGTGCCAGCCGTGGCCTCCCAGACCAGAGACGGGCAGGCCCAGCTGGGGGCACTGGCAAACGGTCCAGGGGAAACCGCAGGCGGCCTCTGGGGAGCTTCGGGGCGAGGCCGAGTGGACGCTGACCCATCACCCCCTCCCCTCACTGGGCAGTCCCTCCCGGGAGCCCGTCCCTCTCCCTCCAGGAGGACAGGAGGGCAGGGTCAAGTGTCAGCCATCTCCCACCTGGGCACAGGGCAGCCACGGGGAGAGGGGAGAAGTGCAGGTGAGGCTCCAGGGCACCCAGGATGGTGGCGAGACCTGTGGCTGCAGGGGCTGCCGGGACGGGATGGGAGCAGGGGGCCCCGTAGTCAGGCTGCGAGAGGAACGGCTGATGGTGGGGCTCCTGGGGCCAGGTGGGGCTGCGAGCAGGGAGGACCCCAGCAGGCAGGTCCCTGGACACCACCACCTCTCTCAGGACTGTCCACCTGCGCGTACAGGAAGCCCCAGCAGAGAGTGAGGGGGGCTACCCAAAGCCTGGCCTCTGGTGGGTCAGGCCAAGGCACCTCCAAGGACCCGTGGAGAGGCTGAGGCCCTGGCAGGGGCCTGGCAGGCCCTCTCTCTCAGGCCCCTGCCCTGCTCTGGGCCTGGCCTCCGGAGGGCCGGCCTCTGCCAGGTGCCGCTCGGCACTCTCTAACTGCTCGGTCCCCCAGAAGGCCCACCGGGACCCCAAGCGGGCTGGCACTTCCTTGGGCCCCTCCCACTGGAGTGGAGGCCTGGCTGGTCTCAGGACCCGGCGCCCAGCCAGTGGCCGTGGGAAGGGGTGGACGAGTGGGCACAAGTGGCCAGGGGTGCTGGATCCTCCTGGTCCCCACAGGTCCCCCCGGGCCCCTCCCACCACTGGCTGCCGCCTGGGCTGCTCAGTGCCCGCCGTGGCTCCCGCCCCACCTCAGACAGCCCAGGCTCTAGCCCTCCCTCTGCCCCGTCCATCCCAGGGTGACCGGAGCCCCAGTGTCCTCATCATACCCAGCGGGTCACTGAGGGGACGGCCTGGCTCTGCTGCTGCCACCCCAGGAGCAGCGGCCACTGGCCTCTTCACTTCCAGGGGAAAGGCCCAGGGAGGCTGGGGACTCAGAGCCACTCCTGGCGCACGCTGACCCTCCGGGAAGCCGCGGTGAGAATACCATCCAGGCCCGTGGGCAGGTTCACTTGCTCCTCGGCAGACGGTGTTCCTTTCACCCTGGTTTCAGTCCTCCTGGCTTAAAACCCTGCCCCCAGCACTCCTGGCTGAGCAGGAGGGACCCCATGCCCACCCCCGCTCC